AAGTATCACAACAAATCATCACCTGCCAGCATAAACCACAGCTTTCTGAGCTTCACATTCTCACCATCTTACTCAACCCAGACTACATGCAGAATCACACGTTTCTGATTTTAGACCGACAAACCCAATAGCATCAAGACCTGAACAAATTGAAGATTGCCCGGCAAATAAATATCAGAGCAAACATTCATTTCCACAGATCTTCACACTGCTGCACAGCACATCTCAGCATTATTGGTGTGAAAGTTCATCCACAATGCAAAATGTGGCACAGCTGTCTCAGTAAGCAGAACAAGTCTAATTCAAAGATCACACACTGCAATAAGTTCATTATTTAGTGCAGACTCCAAAGTAATTACACAAACATGCCGAATGAACCAGGATCACACTGCCCTACAGATTATGGTACCAACATACTAATAGCTCACATACTGAACCATTGTCTTCAGAGACTAATAAAACAAACTGCACTGCTGAATAACTAATTTAAGGATCAACCTGGCAAATGTAAATACTGATGCATAACTGAAATAAACAGATATCTCTGTTCTGATTCAAGGAATCATTCTTCAGTAACGATCATCGTAAGCACGAGCTGCCCTCCCTGCTTGGGGCGGTCATATGGAGCAGGCCTATCTGGTAACTCCCACCAAAGCGAGCAGGCCACCGCCACCGCCGCCGCTGCCACCCACATTGACGTGAACCACCTCTGCCATAGCCACCAGTGCCCCTCGGATCATCACGGTAGTAACCTCCATTGGACCTCCCTACATCTCTCTCATAGCTCCTTTCTCTGGCAAAGCCACTGGACGCATAATGATCTGCACCACTGTACCTGTCACCAGAATAGCGGTCTGCTGCTGGCGCATAGCGATCACTAGCATAACGATCACGCCCAGCACCATAATAAGTATCCTTGCTGTCTACATAGCGGCCACCATCATATCGATCATCATCATAGCGAGCAAAACGATCTGATCCTCCAAAGCGGTCACCACGTCCCCCAGTACCACCACCATACCTTGAAGCGGGAGAATACCTTCCACTTCTACCACTTCCATCTGAATAAGGGCATTCACGAGCCCAATGTCCAGGTGGCCACATTTGAAACAATCATCACTTGCTGCTGGAACTACATCACCTCCACTCACGATATCCACCTCTAGCACCAGAGACGAGTAACCACCACCACCACCACCACCATATCCATAACCATCATCAGAGTTCCTAGGTTGAGCTTTGTTCACAGAAATATTACGGCCATCAGTTCTCCATTATGCATTCCCGAATGGCAGCATCCACAGCCGAGGTTCTGAAAATGTGACAAATCCAAATCCCCTCGGCGGCCTGTCTCCCTTTCCACTACAACCTATACATACAATGAAAATGAACCAATGGGAAGATAGAAACTATATATAATAGTGAGCAACAAAAATTCTATCAATAGGAACAGCATGCAAATTAGGGTGATGTATGAAATCAAACAGCTAATGAACATTGTGCAAAACCAGTGAAATCATCCCAACTGTACAAGAGTTAACAGTCAATCCAAATGCCACAGCTCAAATATTGTATGCAAATCAAAATCTGCTTTGACCATCCACTGGTTAAGAACATTAATGATTACGGCCAAGGTCAGAAGTCAGAACCGAAGAATCTAGCATGTGACCACAGGCGACATTGATGAGTCTGAACACTTCCAGGTGAGGACCATGTGCTGCAAGAACCAGTATCCAATCCAGAAAACTGAACAGAGACCAATTACTTTTGGGAAGTTGTATGGGCACAAAACTAAGAGGTGAACTATAACATGACCAGGTAGATTTTAGTTACCCTGCCATATCCTTCAGAATCAGAAAAACATAATCCGAAAGTCTAAATGAATTTTTTTTAATCCTGGCTTTTCTTTTGTATGAAGAACTAAACATTTCCATTGCAATGGGAAATGCACAATGGACTTCGAAGCAGATGCAGGCACAGATGAGCATACAACACTCTTCAGCATCACCATTGCTGCCTCGCTACTGAAAGGACAAATGGTTTCTCTGCCTTATCAAACTGATCCAGAAGAATGATGCAACCAAATTTTGCCACAAGTTCAGTCCAGCACTGGCAACCATGTTTACTTCTGTGGAGTTCATTAACCAAGCCAGTGACGATTCTTTTCTGTGATCTAAAGCTGGCAGCAGTTATCTTAAGTACTAACATGGCAAAAACAGGTGTCTGGTTCTGTCCACAAAACAGAGCACATCTAGCAAAACTGAATCTAACAGTGTGTATGCCTCCAATTGATTTTTACTGAACCCATCACCGCAAAAATGCTAACCAGCGAGCTCAATTGATTAGTGAATTTCTTTTCCTGCAACTTTGCTAACTTCCTAACATATAGAAATGGAAGTGACTGCAGCCTCTGTGAATCATCGGCTGCTATTAGATTGAAATTGTAAGACTAAAAGGGGGAGAAAAAACAAGCCCTAACATACACAAATAAGAAACATGACTTGTTCCAGTTTATGATATATAAATTATTTTGGCCATTACTGTGGTTATCAAAAAATTTCAACTTAACCATGAGGTTCAAATGTCCCTTGATACAAACAACAACATAGTAACGTATGCCTTCACTGCAAGGGATTGCCATTATTAACTTACAATGCACATTACGTATAATAATTATAACTTTACTAAAGTCATGAGACACATTTCAGTGACCTATAACTAGGAATGGTGGAAACATAATCAGAATGGTGACAACAGACAGCTAGTAACAATTCAAGAAAACTCTATGGTTCCTGGTAACCAAATTAAACATGCCCAAGTTACAACAGTTAACAAGCAGTTTAATCATCTGTTTTCCCCCAGATCAAACACAAAATATTCTTCAAGTGTGTAATCTTTCCGTGTCACAAAAAAAATTGTATCATTTGCTAAGGTATATCAAAAATTATAACTGCAGCAAACTACCATTTATTTCTGCGCCTACTGCATCACACTATCATGCAACCAGGTAGGATAAAAAGTGATCCATATAACAGGGTAATCCCAAAACAACCTTATTCTATGACTCCCTATATTTTTTTAGGGTAAATGACTCCCTATATTTAGGGAGAGCACATCCACACTAAAACAGGAGACCCCCAACTAATAAACTAACTCCAATCCCCTCAAATCACAAGCATCACGGCAGGGAGAGCCGTCGCTGTACCTGAGCCTCGATGACCTTGCCGTACTGGCCGAAGGTGCGCTCGAGCGTGCGCTCCGTGGTGTCCCAGGACAGCCCGCCGACGAAGATCCGCCCACCTTGTCCTCCGCCATCTTGGGGCCAAGTCAATCAGAACCACCTGCACGGCAAACCAGCAGGTAAATCGCATCGATCAGGAAAACCGAGATTCCGCAGCGATCCGCGCAGCGCAACAGCGCGAATCGCGTCGCGACAAGACGAGGCGGGGAGGGTGGCGCCTCAGGCTCACCTCGCGCGGAGACCTAGGGGTTGCTCGGATCGAGGCGCGCGGCGGCTAGGGGTTTAGAGAGAAGAAGGGCGATGCGGAAGAGACGATGGGATGGGATGGGATGGGAAGGAAGGGGAGGTATCTGGAGCGTCCTATTTATCTGGGGGACGGGCCGCAAGCTACTAGCACGTGTCGTCGGATGGGGATTTTTTAATTGTCCTTTTATTTTTATTTTATTTTGCCCTTTTGTTAGTTTTTATTTTTGGTACTCGTTTAGATCGCTCTAAATTTGAGTTTTTTTCACTCATATCCATCATATTAATTTTTAGGCGTATGTACATAGAGCATTAAATGTAGGTAAAAAATAACTAATTATCTGATTTGAGTTTAAATAAATCGCGCAGATGAATCTTTTTGAACCTAGTTAATCCGTGATCGAACAAAATTTGTCAAATACAAACAAAATATGCTTCTGATTGTCAGGGTTGCAAAAATTTGCAATCTAAACCAGGCCTAACTACCGTAGCTGAAGATAAATTCGGAAAAGGTACTCTGGTACGTGCCTGATTAAAAATGGTCCTCTTTCTTTTCTTTTCCTTGTACTAACGGTTCCATCTCAGGTATTGTGGAGTCTTTATCGGCACACACCGTGCTAACATTCGGACAATATATAGGCAAAAAAGAAAGAAACGCCAAAAGACATATGTCCTGGGCCTTGTTTAGTTGCATCAATTTTGCATCTCTAAAATTTGCACAGTGTAAGATTCTCCATCACATCATATCACATCAAATCTTTGGACACATGCATGGAGTATTAAATATTGATGAAATAAAACTAATTACACGGTTTGGTTGTGCTTTTTATGATACAAGCGTTTTGAGGCCTAATTAGTCAGCGATTAGACAATTATTACCAAATAAAAAAAAAACGACCTTTGTTGCTACAGTGTTGGTACAATATTTCGGGCGGTGCAAATTCTGGGCAACTAAACACGGCCCTGATATGTTTTCAGCCAATTCGAAAGGGAAATTTAAAATTGGTGCTTTTCAAGAGTGTCACATGCGCTTGGTCAAAAAAAAGTGCCACGAGTGCAAGATAGCATTTAATTTATTTATTTTTGGTGGGGAAGATAGCATTTAATTGACTATATAAAACACTCCATCCGTCCACAAAATAATGTAATTATGGGATGCGTGTCGATCAAAGCCGACTCAAGTTGTCCAAGTTTATAGTAAATAGTATTAACATTTATGTATCCAAATAAATTTATTATAAAAATATATTCTATAACTAATCTAATGATACTTATTTTATATAAAAAATGTTAGTATTTTTATATAAATTTAGTCAAAGTTTGAACTATTTGATTTAAAAGCGAGAATTGCATTCTTTTTATGGACGGAGAGGAGTAGTCATGTCTAATGTTTTTCTTTGTTTCTTTTTTTGTTTCTATTGTTTTCAGACATCTTTGGAATGTAGAATTCTAGAAACATAGAAATAGAAAAAATGAATGAATAGATTGTCCTAACATCTTGAATCCTATTAATCAAGAAAACACGGAAAACATAAGATTGAATGTTTGGATGGAGCATAAAAAAAAGTATAAGAATTGATGAGCGAAAGATACCAAGGAATTTTTCATGAGGTTCGATCTCTTGGTAAAATTTCTCTAAAATTTCTCTGAAACAAGCCATTCCATTTATAGGAACATGATTCTTTGTTCCAAAGGGAGTTCATAGGATATTTTCTATATGATTTAAATGCTCTAGAATTCCTTCAATTTTTGCTTTTATTCCAAATGAGGCCTTCCTACGCAATATAAGTTTGCATTTGCATTGGAAACTACTCAAGTAGTTTCATCTATATGAAACTTATGTGTTCTCTCTTTATCATTTCGTTACTTTGTCAAGTAAACACTAATATAGCACTCATGAAAACAGAATGTCCAATTTCGATCAGAACATGTCCGGTGCAATCTTAACTGCATTATTAGGGATCATGGCAGTACATGTGATTGATTCAAATTGGCATATATTTCTGCTTATTAGATAGAAAAGGTCTTATCTTTTTCCTAGCTTCAAATATAAGGGACTAGAGCATCTCCAAGAGTCTTTCTAAAATGTACTCTCTAAATCATCATTTCGAGAGTCATTTGAGTAAAAAGTCGTTTTCTATATCTTTGTATTCTCCAACAGCTTTTCTATATATCTTGTGCGTAGTCTAGATAGTCTTTCTTGCTCTTCATTTTTGGCTGGCGAGAAATACGGAATAGAAGATACCTATATTTGATATCCAGGTTGAAGAGGCTGTTGGAGGGTATTTTTTTTTATCAAATCTCTATTCGTGTAAATTAGCAAAGATATAAAGAGTCTCATGGACAGGTTCTAAACTTCTAAACCCACAAGAGCGTAGGTACCAAAGACAATCTATTTTCGATGAGTTTAGCATAAACCCTTTTATAAGATTAAATTATAAATATTTGCAGTCATCATTATACAATGTTGGCTATTGGGTCATGGGCCAGTTTAATTCGAAAAAGTAAAAAACGAATTGGACAAATACGTCATGGGCTTTGTTTGTCGATGGTGGAAAACTCGGGCCATTGATGAGGTGCGGCCAAGAAACGAGAGAAAGGGCAGAAGTTTAGAGTTGGGCCGGCCCAGAGAGGAGAACGGAGGGAGAAAAACAATTTTAGATTTGTTTTAAGGATTGAGAACTGGAACTCATTTGAATTCACCACTTAAACATGATATCTAAAAATCATGGCAATTTCAAATTCGTCCCCAAGAAACCTGGATAGAATATTTTGGGGATTTATCTTATTTTCATTTAAGCACATTTTATTACATGCACAAGGAGAAGTTACATGCATACGGGGAGGAAACCCCGAAGAAAATCAGGAGCTATCATATACATAAGTCATAGCTCATTTTTTAATGTAGTTTTTATATGGGCTGTCACATTATGTAAATATTAATTTGAAACATGGTGTAGATATAGTTTGGACAACATGTCCACAACATTTCCATTGCATTGGTCTGTAACATTTTCTTTTATCGTTGTCACATTTTCTATAAACGATTTTTCTTATCCATCACAAAAATGCAGGGTTATAACTTGGGATATTTCTAATGATGGTTTCTACAAAAAAAAAAACGTTATAGAGCATCAACGTTACTCAGTTGCAGTGCAGTGCCACCTAAGTTCGATCTAATTCTCTTCGACTCAAATCCATGAGTCCATTTCTCTTCAACTCAAATTGGATTTGCAAAGAGCTCCCAAAGAGATGCGTCTCGTACCGTACGTCCAAACACCGCCCAAAGAAAACGCATCTGGATAGTCGACACAAGCACAAGCACGAAGGCAATTCGTTTGACAGAAGATCAGATTCAGATCCCAGCCGGTTTCTGTTCACCAATTTGCAGACTAGCAAGTACAATTGCCTGTAGTCAACCAAATACTAGTACGATATTTCCATCTTCAGAATACAAGTCATTGAAAAACACCTTCTGAATACCGCTGAAATCGACCCCAAAACTACGTAGAAGCTTTCAGTTTGGGAATTCTGCTGCACCAAGCATGGTTGGAAAATACAGCATCGAGCTTGGAGCAGAACTGAAGAAACGAAAACTCAGTATCAATGTCAGTGTCACTCACCAGATATTTCATCAGTGGCGGCACGAGATGACACAGAAGGGGCACATATTCCCAATTTCCTAGCGACTGTATACCTAACCTGAGAGGACAATCCTTTTCAAACATCCCAACTGGATTCCTGGAGTAGTCTGAATCCAACACCTTCATTGCTTACTATTCGTCAGCGCTGCCGACTCCTTGTACAGAGGAACATAGTAGGGAACAGGAAGCTCATCGCCGAGATCGCCGCCACTGGGACCGAGATCAGCGACAGCACGGACCTCCCTGCGATCCATGTCGTACGCCACCAGCTTGCGGTCCCAGTGCCGGACAAAGAACACCCAGTTCCCATCCGGATGAACAGCGACGACGCTGTACTCGACGCGGAACTGGCACGCGAACCCTCCCGAACAGCTCCAGGAACCCCGCCAGCGTCTGCGCGTACCGCTGGCAGTGGAGGGGTCCGTGACGAGGCCGCACCAGGCCGGAGACGCACTTGAAGCGGTGGTGGGGAGTTGGCGGGGAGGAGGCCGAACATCTCGACCAGCGCGTCGTCCAGGACGACGCAGGGGCCGGGCGCCGCCGCCGCCGCGCGCTGCTTGGGGGGTCCCGGGCCGACCATGCCCTCCGCCCGCGTAGCGAGACACGGAGCCACGGCCACGCCTTTATTTTATTATTTTGCTTGTGCTGATGGTGAGGTGTTGACTGCAACGGAGAGCGACGAAGACTATTGCCGCCGTGCGCCGGCTGATGAGTTCGTTGCAGATTTATGGAGTCCGACGATGGATTCCATGGAGTTTGCGACCAAAGCAAGAGAATGTTTGGCAGTTTGCACTTAACAATTTGTTTGATGAAATACCAGTTAGAACGTTTAGACATCTGTGATCTGTCTCATCCTAGCCGACGTGCCACATCACCACTCTCTTTGGTTTGGTGTGTTCGTCTCCTCGCAGTCGCAGCCACGCTGGCCTGGCCTGGTTTGCCACCCGCTCGTCGTCTTCGTCCCTGCTGCGGGCCTTGCTGGCCCTGCTTGCCGCTGGTGCTGCGACTCTCCTGGTGATTGAAAGTCAGCCACTGACATTAAGATAACGGCCTGTCATTCATCATGGTTTATTGGTTGTTTGTTGTGTGAGTTATGGATTGTATAGACTATTAGTGTTTACTGAAATACTAACATTAACCATCAATTTAGTACCAGTTACAGAGCTATGTCCTATATACTTAGTAGAATGTAAAAGCACAATCGATTATAAGTGCAAGAGCACCCAGTTACGTACATTAAAAAAATATCAAGAATCACATTGTTTGCAACACGTGGAAAATTTAATCCCTCAGCTTAAATGAGCCTATACAAATGGGTGAAATCAAGATTACTAATTGGAGCCAGTTGAGGATCCAGTGAAATCATGCCTTATATTTTGGGAGGGAGAGCTGCTGGAGGTATGCATCTGAATTTGGTGGCTAATAACAATCCATACTCTCAATACTTTCGTGAGTCATTCGGTTTTTCTTTTGTTAGTTCCTTAATCCTCAGTCACTTACCAGATTGATGTAATAAATAGAAAAAATGATTCTTCACTGCCCACCGCTTGTAATACTCTCAATACTATTGTAGTAAATTAGAGCGTCCACAAGAAAGCTGCTGTCTCAAAGTCCTCCTAGGACATGGTGCCACTTATTCTTCAGCACCATAGTAAGGAACTCCGAAGCTTACAAGGTTAATGTGGCAGAGGTTTTGGTTTCAAATTCCCATACAAATCGTTGCTTGCAACATGCTTATACAATTTTTGTTTATTAACACAAGAATGATTGGCTAAAATTATTATTGTAAATTGTCAATGCAAAGGCAGTAAAAAAACATTTGGTGCCAATATGCCATACATTTGGCAGGATAGAAGAAAAAGAAAAAATGCGCCCCGTTCACTTACATCTGTATTTTACATAACTCCATAAGTTATTGCAAAGAACTAGCTCAACTATTGACTGCTATAACAAAGATTTGACTTTTGAGTTTTGACAGTAACTTGTCCTGCACAGGGCGATCAAAACAGATGGAAAGCAATCAGCATGAACAAGCAAGCTGGTCTTCGTGTCTTTCCGAACTCCAAAATCTCTTATTACCAGCTTCGGCTGCTGTTTAGTACAGAATATTTGTTTTGGAAACTAGATGTATCATGTAATCGCATCAATCGGGCAGATTTTGATCTCACAAATTTCAGTTCACACATTTCCAATACACAAAGGGTTTGCAACATAGGGAAAAGCGGTATATTTATTCCTTCAGCTTAAAAAAGCATATACTTATCTCCAGTCAGAATAACAAAACGTTCAGACTTCAGACATGAAAATGATTCACAAAACAAACCGACTAGCATCTCTGAAACGTCATACTTTTTTTTTTACTATAAGGAGTACTAACAGATAAAATGAAAAATAACAGTTAGTAATCACTCACCACTTGTAAGGTCAAGGCAAAAGGACGCAGTATCTATACCGCTTATAATCATAAAAGGTAGCAGTTCAAATATATAGCTTGAAGCCTTCAGAGAAAATCATCAAATGGTGGTCAACTTCATTAAGATAACTTATGTAAAGCCACCTTGCATGCACATAGAATGCATGTAAAGACAAATATAAACATTATATGCCATTATTTTTATCCTTCACATGCACAGAAGAGAAAGAAAAAAAAATCCACTTACATCTGTAGGCTAAACTATTGTAAAAGTACTAGCCCAACTATTGACTGTTATAACAACGATTTAAAAATAGCTCAATATAATGCATTTGTCTTATGCAGGGCGGCTAAAAAAGACGCAAGCAACCAGCATGGGCACGCAAGAACTTCTATTTCCCTCTGTCCAAACTACAGAATCTGTTATTATCAGCTTCAGCTATTGATTAGCAGCATACAGAATATATGGTCTCCAAACCAGTTGCATCAAGTAATCAACATGAACTGGGCAGCTTTTGATCTTAATATGATACAAAAAAAGAATCAGCCTAAACATTTGTAATACACACATTGTTTGCAACACGTGGAAGATTTAATCCCTCAGCTTAAATGAGCACATACAAATGGATGAAACGAAAAATAACATCTACTAATAACTCATTACTTGCAAGGTCAAGCTAAAAAAAAAACCCAAATATTTACTCTGCTTATAATCCTAGAAACACAAAAAGGCAGCATTTGAAATATGTAATTTTAAGTTAAAGAAAATCATCACAAGCTGGTCAACTGCATTCATTAAATATGACAGGAACATGTAAAGCTACCTTACATTACATGCAAATCTCCCAACTGCATGTGGTAACTAGTCCAAAAGCATGAGACAGAAAACAACCATGCCCGATGCACCAAAGAAATGCGTCTACAGCATTACAAAAGGGTTACATTAAAACACCAGCAGAATAGATAACCTAATGATAATAGATTTATCCAAATTTGCACCACCTAATCGTAGATTTACCCACACTGCTAGTTGCCCATACTTGGAAGATCAAGCTCTTGCTGAACATTCAGAGAAGTATCCCACAAGCAACAACCTCAGTCCTTGGTGGCAAGAACAGCAACTCCATGAAACAGGGAATATACGGGGTAATAAACAGATAGTCCCCCTCCTAGACTGCGGTGAGCATGCAGTTCCTTACTATCCATGTAATATGATACCAGTTTATGGTTCCTGTGCTGAGCAAGGATTATTGAATTGTGATCTGGATGAATGGCCACAATATCGAAGTTTATTTGGCAACTCATTGATCCAAAGAGCTGTGAACAGCTCACATTGTGCTTCAGAATCCATTCTTGTGTATCATAGTCCTCAAGAACCCAAACTGACAGTTGCGTGAAATGGAAAATGCAGTCTTGGAATTTTACATTACTACTTATGCAGTGCAGATGACCTTGGGATTGACCAAATAAAAGCAGGTGCTGACACAAGCTTACCAGGCCAGCAGATAGTCGTACAAATTTTCCCTTCCCCATCCACCGCAACTATCAGATTCTCATCTTTCTCAACATGGTAGACAACAAAATGCAACAGACCATTGACCAAAGCCCTGCCACACGTGAATTCGATTATGGCTGCACCCACAGTCCCCATTCACCGCCCTCTTCACCTCGTTCCCACTTGCTTGACCTGTCACTCCATGCCCTGGTTTCAGATGAGTAACCATGTGTTTGGTTGGAGGGACCATCGAGGATGGGATGGGACGACTCCACTTCTCGTGCTGTTTGGTTCAGGGGCGACAGAGGACGGGACCGTCCCCCCAGCGAATATTCACGTTGATTCGAGGTCAGCCCCGTCCCTCCAAATCGAGGGGACGGACCTCGTCCCACATCACGCCATTGCTTCCATACACCTCGAGGACGCCGGGGCAGGCGGCCGAGGCGAGGTGGCACAACGCGGCGAATCTCAGCGAGGCGGGCTCGAGCTCATGGCGGATCAGACGCGGCAGAAGCGCAGCGTGGCCGCCGGATCAGGCAGCGGCGGTGAGCTCCGCCAACCAGCGTGGGAAGCATGCCCACGGACCACGGCCCACCGTGCAGAGCCTCGGCGCTGCCGGCGTGGGGCGCAGCGACCTATTCTCCCAGATCTGGACCAAGTGGAAGCGAGGAGACAACCGGGTCAAACATCAGATGGGTGTGCACATCTTTTCTTATAGCTGTCTTCCAGTAGAGGAAGCAGAGGCGGACAAGAGCCGGAGCTGGCGGGCACAGTCACCAATTCCTCGGTCGCAGGGTTGCACACGATGTACCCGAACTTGTCCTCCGGGTGCACCCAAAGAGCAGGGAGACCGTTGCAGGAATCCAAGAGGACCATGCGCTCGACCCCAGACAACAGTCTCGCCGTGAGGAAGGAGAAGGAAGGTCAACTGGAGGAGCAGATTCCTGCCCCCCCGACAGGCTGGTTAAGTGCCCATAGCTGTCATGCTCAGTGCCAGGCTGGTGAAGAAGCCTTCAGGGTCTGGGGCAGCTTCTTGCGGTGGAGGGGGTCGGCGATGAGGTCGCGCCAGGGTCTGGACACGCACTTGGACCGGCGGACGTCCTTGACGGGCACGCGCGAGAGGATGTCCACCATCAGGTCGTCGTAGAGGCCAGCGACCGCCGTCCCTTTGCGCAGTCCATGCCACCGGGAGTGGGAAGGGTCGCGCCGCAAGCTGCGAGTTTTGCGGAGAATCAGGTGAGGTTAGGAGATGGATCCGCACGAGAGAGACAGGGACTGAGAAATGCGGCGAATGGGGAACGTACCGGCTGCCGGAGAGGGTCCGCGTCAACGGCGGCCGTGCTAGCCGGCGGGGGATTTGCTCAGATGGGTAAACCCTCGCGGCCCACCCTGTTGCGTCTCGCCTCAGGAAAGGCAGGAATCAGCTGAGGCCTGAGGGGACTGAGGAGTTGCGTCTCGGACTGAGTCAGCTGAGGCCCGCCACCGCCGTCCCCTTTGCGCAGTCCATGCCGCCGGGAGCGGGGAAGGGAAGCGCCGCAAGCTGGGAGTTTTGCGGAGAATGAGGTGAGGTTAGGGTCTGGATGCGCACGAGAGAGAGGGACTGAGAAATGCGGCGATTGGGGAACGTACCGGCTGCCGGAGAGGATCGGCGTCGACGACGGCGTGGGACTCAGATGGGGGAATTTCTTCTAAACCCTCGCCCCTCTTGCGTCTCGCTCAGGAGTCGGAAGTGGGGGGACTGAGGAAAAAGGATTTGGGAGGAAGATGGCTGGGTGCATTTTCTAATAGCCCAAGGTTTAAGGTGCGTTTTGCTAATGTGCCGGCATCACAAATTGTCTGCGATTTGAAAAAATAGGACTCGAACGGTCGTTTGCAGATTTGACACTGAATCCATATTTATAAATACAGATGGATCCATTTGTCATCAACCCAAGTGTCATCTTTCGAGTATCTTTTTTTCAAAAAAAAAAATTCAAATTGTCAAATTGAAACCGTGAACCCCTGTGTCACGTTGTTAGCCCGTGCCTCGTTTGTTTGTTTGTTGCTAAAATGACAAATAGAGGATGCAGGTATGAGCGCATTTCCTTGTTGCATTTCAAAATAAATAAAAGAAAAATGAAACGAACCAACAATTATGATTGCTCTTTTGATTCTGGACGAAACGGTAGTTCTTGCATAAGCGTCCGACTCTTTACTCGAGTATCAGGACAAACGCGGGCGTGAGGCAATGTGACACAATCTTTGTTTAATATATCCCGTCAATTTATCCATCGCTCACTCCGCAATATCCAATCAATTCATTCATCTCCCACTCCGCCACCCACCCCGCTCCTCACCCACATTTTTGCTCCGTGCCGTTCTGCTGTTCTTGCTCAGCTTAGCGGTCCGGCCTTGCCTCAGGTGCGGTTCGCACCACGCTTCCCTGCCGGTGCTCTGCTCGCCGCCACTCCACCCAACGACATCGACAAGTCGCTTGAAGGCAAGGAGAAGCGTCAGGCCGCAGTGGAAGTTTTGGCCTCACCTCCTGCCTTTCTGTTACTGACCCCCGATGGTGAGTATATGAGGAGGCCACACTGAAATATGATGCATGTTGCAAGCATACATTTAAAATGTTTCAGTTATTTTAGATGTATATTCCAAGTGTTTCACAGGGATGTTGTAAAAGTAGATCAAAATGTTTCATATGTTACAATGGTTGTACACGTATATGTTGAATCGTCTCATCCCCAATGTGTTGGGGACCAAAAGTAGGGCAACCCGGAGAAGAGGGCGCTAATTCATCAGGCGATCAAGAACACAACTACATTTCCCAGTGGGTACCGTCTCGTCCAAACCACCAAGGCTGCGGGCTCCATTTTGTCCGACGTCGGAGGGCAGGCTCCTCCTCGCCCGACGTCTGCGCGCTGTTCCTTCATAACTACGCACGCAGATAAGGCAGGGCACTCAAGTCAACCACAATACCGAGGACCATACCACACTTTGTCAGAAAAGTACCGTCGAGGGATGTGACAAGGCGGCAATTTGTAAGCCCTTTCGAGGCATGTCGAGAGCCGAAACAGTGTTGTAAACGCGACATTTGTCTTCTGGTGTTGTGGGCGCCGCCATTTGCCCACAGGCGTGGATCTGACGGAAGCTCACGACAACCACTACGGTCTAGGAGGAAACTCATGCCACCTCGATAGTGCGGACGGCGGTCTCTACATTGTTCGCGCTCCTGTATGTGGCGCGGATCAGCGCCCTAGTCCGCCGCGCCGCCCGCCGGGGCGGGATGGGACGTGATAACTTGCTGACCACGCTAGGACATGACAGGATCAACGGATGTGCTCCTAGCGTGGGGCTATCCCTGGCACCGTCTGCCATGTCAGCGGGGCTCGAACAGAGGAAAAGGAATACCCGGTATCTTTGAAGGACCTCCTTTGCCTATGGTTTTTCTTCTTTCTCCCATACATAATCCCTGCTCTCCCTTGGCCTATAAAAGGGACGGCAGGGCACCCCACTAAGGGATCGATTCAAGGCACCACGCATCACATCACACATAGCTGAGCAGCGACCAAGTTCTCAGCACCCATTAGACCTTTCCATCAGAGACTTGGGACATTTCCCTCTCTCGCCCGTTTGTAACCCCTGCTACGAACTTTTCAGTGCTAATAACACGAGCAGCAGCCACAAACTGGACGTAGGGATATTCTGCCCGAACCAGTATAAACTTTATGTCTTTTTAGCACACCATCCGGGTCAGACGCACAATAACACAAATTTACTCATTGGTGTTTATTCGAAACACCGACACAATGTTTTATTTGTTTTTTCAGATGTATGTCACAAGTGTGTTTATCTGGATGTTGCATATATTTTACACATACTGCAAGTGTTTTATCTAGATATTGCGTATATTTGCAATGGTTTTCAATTGTTTCATATGCATGTTTTGAATGTTTCATTTGTCTTTTTTATATGTTGCAAGTGTTGTATTTGAATGTTTTAAAAGTAGATGGGGTGTTGCACATAGGATGCGTGTGGGAAGTGGGAGGGGGCGCGAGCAGTCCCTGCGCGGGCGACGTTCGGGCAGCGTGGCCCCCGCATGGGTCCGGGTGATGTAGGCGCAGTCGAGCGGCGTATGCGCGGCTGAAAGGTCCTAATGGCTAGGGGGGTGAATAGCCTAATAAAAATTTCTACAACAACACTTAACAAAATGGTTAGATAATTATGAGGCGAAACAAGTGTTGCGCTAGCCTACTCAAAATGCAAGCCACCTACCACAATTCTAGTTTAGATAGTATCTATTCACACAATAGCTATGACACTACCCTATGTTAATGTGCTCTCAAAGGCTAACTAAAGAGCCACACCAACCAAGCAAGCAAGCTCTCACAACTAGCTACACTAAAAAGCTTGACAACTAGTTTACGGTAATGTAAAGAGAGTGATTAAAAAGGTTATACCGCTGTGTAGATGAAGGAACCAATCAATCACAATGATGAATAACAATGAAGACCAATCACCTCGGAATCAATGATGAACATAATAGTTTTTTACCGAGGTTCACTTGCTTGCCGCCAAGCTACTCCTCTTTGTGGCGATTCACTCACTTAGAGGTTCACACGCTAATTGGCTTCACACGCCAAACCCTCAATAGGGTGCCGCACAACCAACACAAGATGAGGATCACACAAGCCACAAGCAATCCACTAGAGTACCTTTTGGCGCTTCACTAGGGAAAGGTCAAGAACCCCTTATAATCACCACGATCGGAGCCGGAGACAATCACCACCCTCCGCTCAACGATCCTCGCTGCTCCAAGCCGTCTAGGTGGCGGCAACCACCAAGAGTAACAAGCGAAATCCACAGCGAAACACGAACACCAAGTGCCTCTAGATGCAATCATTCAAGCAATGCACTTGGATTTACTCCCAATCTCACTATGATGATGAATCAATGATGGAGATGAGTGGGAGGGCTTTGGCTAAGCTCACAAGGTTGCTATGTCAATGAAAATGGCCAAAGGTTGTGAGCTACAGCCGGCCATGGGGCTTAAATACAACCCCCACGAAATAGAGCCGTTATACCCCTTCACTGGGCATAACGTGGGCTGACCGGATGCTCCGGTCAGTTGACCGGACGCTGAGCCCCCAGCTTCCGGTCGCTCATAGTCAGCCACGTGTCCCGACTTCAATGGTCATCTGCATTGACCGGACACTGCTCCTGAGTTGATCGGACGCTGAACACCCAGCGTCCGATCGTTTACAGTAAGGTTCCAAAACCGATTTTTGTCGACCGGACGCGTCCGGTCATGCTTGACCGGACCCTGCCAGCGTCCGGTCACACTGTGACTTCTTACTGTGCTGATCGGCAACACGACCAGACGCAACCCTTCAGTGTTCGGTCGTAGAGCGACCCAGCGTCCGGTCGTTTGACCGACTCCAGCGTCTTCGCTGCTACACCTGACCGGACGCGCCGGTCCAACCGAGGCCAACGTCCGGTCACTTCCAGTGACCTCCGTCTTTTTTGTCTAGGGCGCCGGTGGCACCGTCGGACTATCCACACTCTACGGGCGGACACTCCGCCGGTGGAGTTTCTTACCCTTGCTCCCAAACTTCACCACCCTTGATCAAATGTGCCAACCACCAAGTGTATCACCTTGTGTACATGTGTTAGCGTATTTTCACAAACATTTTCAAGGGTGTTAGCACTCCACTAGATCCTAAATGCATATGCAATGAGTTAGAGCATCTAGTGGCACTTTGATAACCGCATTCCGATACGCGTTTCACCCCTCTTAATAGTACGGCTATCAAACCTAAATGTGATCACACTCTCTAAGTGTCTTGATCACCAAAACAAAATATCTCCTATGGTTTATACCTTTGCCTTGAACTTTTTGTTTTTCTCTTTCTTCTTTCCAAGTCCAAGCACTTGATCATCATCATGACATCATCATCATGTTATGATCTTCATTTGCTTCACCACTTGGAATGTGCTACCTATCTCATGATCACTTGATAAACTAGGTTAGCACTTAGGGTTTCATCAATTCACCAAAACCAAACTAGAGCTTTCAATCTCCCCCTTTTTGGTAATTGATGACAACCCTTACACAAAGATATGAATTAAAATTCAATTAAATCCATGTTGCTTGCCCAAGCATAT